AAGTGCTATCCACAGCACGACCGCTGATGTTATATGTCCAAACCTTTGAGGCCCAGAACAAAGAGAATCCTATTTGTTGGACGGAAAATGTTAAAACAGTCATCAATGCAGCTATGTCTTGATAGAGCAACAGCGCGTCACATTTGCAGCTAGGATACCGCAAGCGAGACTGAAGCCTCGTGTGTAGTACCACGCGAATAAGGTCTAAACGTCTAACACGGGTCACATCGAGCACAGTGCGGCATACTGAAAAAAATCTGGTTTTTGATCTTTGTCGTGGCGATCCCAGCCTTGAAAATGCAAAATTCTTTAGAAGACGCCGAGCTCATTGCCCAAGGCTGTTGGTTTTAGATATAAACGCATGGAGCTTGTGTTCCATAGCATATCCTGATACATTTAGAAATGTCATGCAATTACGTACGACATGCGACTGTAGAACTGGTCGAAACTGGTCGGCAGTACGCAAGGCATTAAGTGCTCCAGATACAAACAAGATATTCGTGCGTCTTGCGAGGGAGGCACTGCTAAAGCTGTCAATGGTACAGTCAAACCCTCGTGTGAAGTTGAAGAGTTTGATAGCGTGATATGTTGTCTAGTCCTGGGCCTAGATTTGAGATAAGATTTCATTTTAGGCAAGAAGTGGCAGGAGTCTCATGCCATGGTCAACTAGGAGATACATATATAATTTGCTACGTTTCTCACTACTGGTGTAGCGTCAACGAGCCATGAGCTCACGTCTACCAAATAGCAGAATCGATTGGAGTGGGCACGATGGCACGAAAGCTTCCGTGCCGGATATGGTATTTGTAGAATTAACAGTAATAGAATGGATAGGTGTCTCGAGAATAGCACAAAAAGAGACGCGTTATCGATCTGGGGTCCCGAGATGAAACAGGAAGAATAACTGTATTTTGTTGCCTTTTGAGTGACTCACAAGTGCGACGGAAAGATAGCTAAGGGCTTATGTTCTCTGTGCCAGGGACGATGGAGAGCGAGACGACTAGGCGTTGCATTTTAGCCAATCAGCCAAAAGCGTGAGCGCAAATTGCAGTGACAAGTGCTAGGCAAAATGTTCAATAACTTAATTTTCTTTAAAAAGATGTGACAGTACTGCTAATTTATCACTTCCGTGCGACGAGACTACTGTGCAAAACAGTGAAATTCTACGGTCAAGAGGCGCGAAAGATCAGCCACTCGTGAGCCGAGTAACCGGTGGAGGCTTGAGGGATTCTAGTTTCTCTATACTACCTCCGGCAAAGGCTCTGATAGGGCTACAGTAATTATCTGTCGAGGATATATGCAAGATATTGCAAGACGGTGAAGTCACCAGCAAAAAAATCGACCCTTTTTCGTCCTGGTGAATCCGTCGTTAAGGATATTTGCAAAACAATAATTACGATCAATTCTCAAGCCTTCAATGACATGAGACACTGAGCCAGGTACGATGGAAAACAAGAGAGACTAGGCATTGCATTTTAGCCAGTCAACTTGAAGCGCGAGCGCAAATTGCAACGACAAGCGCCAGGCATGATAATAAAAAAATTATCTTTGATAAGATGTGACAGTACTGCTGAGTTATCACTACCGTGCAACGGGCCTACTGCGAAGCAGTAAGATTCCACTGTCAAGAGGCTAGAAAGATTAGTAACTCGTGAGCCGAGTAACCGGTGGAGGCTGGAAGGATGCAAGTGTCTCCATACTACCTCCGGCAAAGGCTCTGATAGGTCTACAGTAATTATCCGCGGGGATATATACAAGAAATTGCAAGACGGTGAAGCCACCAAAGAAAAAGTTAGACATTTTTACGTCCTGGTGAATATATCATTTAAAACATTTGCAGAACAATAATTACGAGCGATTTTTAAGCCTTTGATGACACAAGACACTTACACTGCGTATTATCTCTGGATGTGGGAAAGCTTCATGAAATCAATATTATTCTTGTAGCCAAATATTGTTCCACGGCAGTGACCTGTTTCATAAAAATATCCGATGTCATTTGACAATGATTTGTATTTATGACGTTGCTGATGTTATTTTTCATGCAGCGCACGGAGTCAGTCTAGTGAGAGGTAGAAAAAGTTATCACTTCGCGCTTACTTCCTGTGTTTGGATGTCTAACGACAAGTGTCGAATTGTGCATGCTGATGATACGCAAATTGCAATCAGGATCTCACCACAAACGTCGATTTCTAAAGCTGATGTGCTCAAAATTGTATGACTGGCAATACTTTGTTCAGTCCTGTGACCTCGTTGATGGATATTATCAGCTGCCGATGGAAGTTATTGATCTCTTTCTTACTGCGGTAAGAACTTGGATTAAATGCTTTGGGAGTAGCTACTTTTTTAACGACACAGGAACTTTCGAATTCGTTAGCGACGTACTATCGCCTGATAACACAGCCGTTCGGACCACATCGTGAATATGTCTTTTAAAAGCCGTAGGCTGGTTCAGGTGTATGTGCTATATTAATCTGTTTGCAATATAAAAGGCGTGTTTTTGGCGTCGACGAAATATTCCTTATTTGCTACTAAATTAGGAAGTAGAACCTGCAGCCAGAACACATTGAATATCGAGTATATCAGTGCTAGATATTTTGAGCTGTGGGATGAGATGTCACGGTTCAAACACTCAAACGTACACTTCAAAAAAGAGGTAAAAGCACAAATACACCTTGTCCACCTGAGCTTTCAGCAGCGCAACACATACTGCGACATGCACGCTAGACGTATCGGCTCATCAATGCGGGATCTTATCAGATTATCCCTTTGGCAGAGCGGCACAAAAGCGCACCCACCATCACCTTCTGGTATCCTTACTGCGGAAGTATGCTCGGCGCAGAAAGATTAATCATATGGTGACGCTGTGCGCAACGATGTAAGGTCTGTATAGATCACAAATGGCTCAACTCGAAATCGGTGCAACCTGACAAGAACATACTGTATACATTGATAAATTCTTCTCTACAGATCAAAGCTAGTGAAACCCGAACGCGTCAGTGCGTTCGGGTTCCATTTGAGTCTGATTCGAGTAGAGCACAGCCCAATATGGTAAAGACCAGAGTGTCACAAACGACACAATGTTACTGTTCGGATACGCATGATTCTCTGACAGTCAACAGAGCCCCACTTTTGCCGCCCCAGCACTACTTGACTTTTGCTGTAAGGAGATGGATGGAGAGTTATGCCATGTCATCAAATTCTGTACTGTATCTTTGCAAATAGTCTGTCAAGCCAATCCATTCTTTAGCCTCTTTGAAAGCCCATTTTGCAACAGCCTTTATCGGCAAAGTGTCTGCCGGCAGACCAACGTCTCCATGATGCACACCGGGAAGAAAATGGTCTTGGTGCCAAAGACACACGTGTCGATTAAGACAACCAGCTTCTTTAAGCACATACAACTGAAAACTGTTCGCAAGTACTTGATGTAGATGACCACTTTGAATCCCCGTTTTCTGCACAACTATGAAGTAATTTAGCTTCTTTGTGCATTCAAAAGATGTGATTATAACAGATAAGTCAGAACATGATTAAACGTTGCATGGGCGTTAGACGACCACTGCAGCGGCTGCCGTAGCTCTTTGCTTCGACACAGCTAAGCTAAGATCACCGACCTTACTATTTTTTCCAAGACCCAGTACGAGTGCAGCGGATCGTAATCCGCTACCTCCAACAAAAATTATAATCTCAAACAAGGTAAATGAACCCTTCCGTCTAAAACTGAAACTCTAGTTAATCTTTTAGTTGCAGCAGAGCAGCCAATATGTAAAACCTTAGGTTTTCCCAATCAACAGAATAATACCTCATTAATATAGTAAAACCTAATTAATATGCATAACTACTGGCGATCCTGCCACGTAGTGGCTTCTTGTTACGGTGTAGACACACCACTGTGTGATGACACCAACTTGTGTGGTTGAAACCTATGTATGCCCACACCATCTTGTGCAACCAGCTCTTTCATACAAGGGTTCATGTAACCCCGTTACACCCCCTTCATTAATGTTGAGAATATCCAGAATTCACATATAACGGTTGCCTAATACGAGGCTCGCGTGTCTGAGACACCTTCACGTTCC